TTAGCGTCATTGTAAATGAGGAAGAAATACTTATATTGGTTTGTCACAGTAATTAAACCATGCCATGGTAACTAGGCCTCAATGCTAATCGGTAGGATTTTAAAATGAATTAGTGTAGAAAAAATATCTATACATTTGATTGTTATAAGCTATAAAACAATTAAAAAGTAGAGGGAAATAGACAATTATGTCATTCTGAACCTTATTTTGAGATGTTAATATGAAGGATCCATTTATTCTGGCGTAAAAGTTGTGAAATAAAATGAAATAACTAATCAATTTTCCATGATTTTCATCTGTTTTTACAACTATTGTGGTGTGGTCTACTTATATCCATATAAGTAGTATATGGCGATGGTCAGACATAGAATGTATTTTGGCAGAAGACCGATAAGGAAAGTACTGAAATGAAGCGCAATCGGTAGGCAAATGCATGAACAATGGAATTAGAGAAGATGAACTGATATTTGCACAAGGAACAGTGAAGATTTAGACAATTGTTTGTTATTTTGCAAATTAAGTGTTTGTTGTATGGTTATCATAATTTAGTGAAATAATATGTAATTTTGTGCTTAAATACGTTCGATTGTCCCAATTAGTGTTCTGTTCACTACACTATTATTACACTACAATGTTAACTATTATTGAATAGACTACATCTGTAGAAAAATTATTCATAAAATCTAATAGAACCAGATTTACAGATAGCACAATCTGAACAACAAAATATTATAAAATAAATCAATAATTAAAAAGAGAAAAAAAGAAACATTAAACTAATTAAAAGTTACAGAGGTCAAACCCATAAAAATACTAAATTAATTTTTTTCAAAAAAGAAAAATTAAAAAAAACAGAGAAAAACATACTGAACAAAGTAAACGCACATTTTTTATTTAGAATTATTGATTAAATGTAAGTTTTCTCAATAAAAATACAATTAAAAACAAAGTGTGTATCTATACCCATTAGTAAAATTCTACAATCGTATTATAGTCATATTATATGTATGTTATTATACATATTATATCCCGACCGTTGCTGTTACCTTGACGTGGTGGTCGGGCTTGCCTATCGTGATAAACCAATCGAGCTATACTCGCTGGAACAATCGTTCCTCAAAGTCCTACCATGCCAGACAGGGCCGTTAAAGAGCAGTAAGACTAGAAACAACAAACCCAAGGTCCGAAGTCGTACTGCTGACTGTACAGAGGTGTGACAGCAGTAAGGTGTTTCCTTCAGACAACCAGCATGACAGCGATACTGCATTCCCACCAAGAGGGGCGGGGTTAGAAAAGGTCGACTCTAAAAATGCACACCTCGCATTATCACACAGATATCCGTCTCCGGCAGTAAGGTCCCAACAAGTACGGAGCTAACACAAAAACTACCCGCAGAAAGGTCGTGTGTGACCGACCTCAAGCACGCTCTCAGGTCATTAAGACCACCTCTAACCCAATTTCCTTTTCAGGTACCTCTAGAAGAACCCTTTATCGGTGATAACTGCCCTCATACCTCTAACAGCACTCAAGACCACTGTATTCATAATCAATCTCCTTCAATTCCTATTATTCTTTCCATATCGACTTTTAACACTAATCTTCCTCTTACGGTCTCCTTCTCAAGTGTCACCATAGCCAACGACTGATATATATTATTATTATACATTATATTATAGTTTACTTATATAGTTTATGTATTTAATTAATCATTGAAAAAAGCAGTAGTATATACAACTTCAAAGAATTGTCTCTATGAAGTCAGGTTTAAATAAACTGAATTAATTTAGTGATTGGTAATAAATGTAATTAGACTTTATACAACGTGTGGAAATTGGAAATGATTAGGTAAAAAATAGTCCACCATGATAACATAGTTCATGTAAACAAATTCATGTATACTAGACAAGAATGAAATTACACTATTGTTACTATTGTACGTACGTAGGTTAATTATTGAACTAGTTAATTAGTATGAACCAATATCTAAGAAACAGAATCTGAGACGGTACATAATAGCATGGTTTGACGTGTTGTACTCGAGAAATAAATAGTTTCATTTTAATGTTTATGTATACAAGGATAAACAAAATAAGCAGTGAAATTCAGGACGTACGCTTTGCTCTATCTGGAACTTATCAGCTGAATGTATCTAAATCCGAGTATTGACGTATCCAGAAGAAATAAATGTGCAAAAGCTGGGAAGCATTCAATGAATGATTAATAAGCTATTTGTTCTCAAGACATAAAATTTTTGTGAAATTTTTCATTATTTCTACTTTAAATATAAATTATAAATAAAAAATTATTCAGATAACAATTACACTAACAAAATTAATGAAGATTTGTTCAGGCCCCTTCAACTATAATTTGAGAATCAAAAATAAAAGGTTCATAACTAAAATACCTGCTGTCACCTTTATCTGATCACATTTCTGATATAGCTTACTCTTAGCCGATCAGTAACAGTATCTAAATCCCTCCTTTAATGGTGTCTGCTAGCTGATTTTATTGCGAAATAACAATAAATCAACCGTAGTTTCTTCAACATTCCTTAACAAAAGATCTTTTACGCCTAGAAGGCAAAAATATGATACAAAAAACCTACAGCTTTATTAATAACTATGACCTTGGGAGAATACGGCGAAATAAGAAACTCAAAGAAGAAGCACACAAGCAGGAAATAGAAAAGATCACGTTTTTATTAGGAAGCGTAGGCTGTCTTTGACTTGATTATTTGTCAGAAATACAAATTAATAGTAAACAGAAAAACTTAGGCAAATTGAGAGCTCCCTAGCAGTTTCAATGAACATTACTCCTAGTTTCAGTGACAAAGTTGGTGTTCGATTAAATCTATTCTTCACCAAAAAGACTCCATCAAAATGTGACAACTATCACTAATCAGGCTATGTAAAAATGTGTTTTGGTTATAACTAAGAGTTTTGAAGAATCACATTGAAACTTAATACAAGAAATATGGACGGAAACATTATATTTCCTAAGCATTAAAATATATGTGTTAACCTAATAAATAATTTTAATGAACTACATGAAATATATCTAATCTAATAATGATCTTAGTCATGAGCTGACATCACCTGCAAAAGAATAATAAAGTAAGATGCATTGAACAACGTTTTCTCGTGAGTTTAGTATTTTTAGTAGTATGCCCATTTACATACATGATACTAGACATAAATAAGATCTTTAATCCTTACAAAAGACATACTTTCAGTTTCAGTAATACTTGACAGTTGTCCAATAGGGTACTAATGTGCTACTGATGTCGACAGATATAAGTAGTATGTATCATCAACCGAAAGTGAAACACTTGGAGATAGAAGATCAGAGAAAAGAGAACGAGAATGATTGATATGAAAATGAAAGAACAATAACGTCTGAGACGATTGATGGCCATTTTGCAAATGAAGTGTTTACTGTGAGCTTCTCAGATTTTATTAAGAGATTCTGTATTTAAATACTTCCCATTGTCCCCACTAAACTATCAATTACTTTATTACTTAATTTATACCTGATTGATAACGAAAGTTATGGCTTACTATCAAAAATTTGGGGAATTCATTCCTAAACCAATAATTCATAAGTATGAGATGATTTTTCATTGAGTAGTTAGCTATACATGAATCTTATAACACAAGATATTTAAATACTGGATATTTGGAATGGATAATATTTTAAGTTGAATGCGTTAATCTGGACAGTTTTATTGAATAGTCTACTTTTGTATAACTAACGAATTTCACTCTGGAGACAGAAAAAGCACATTGAAAAAAGGATGAATGAAGCTTTTTTTTACTAATCGAATAAAAAACGAAAGCTACTGTTCTATGTTTTTTTATAACTGTTGAAACGCCACATCATCCATGTTTGTTAACGTTTTACGTTATTCTTTGGTTTCAATTAGGGATATACCTATCTTAAAGTTACAAAATCACATTGGGAATAGATTTCAATTCAGAGAATATGACTGAAATAATGCTGAAATGATGTTTCTATCGATGATAAACATGATCACCAGGAATACGTTCTGATATCAATATGCTGACCTACTGATGCTGCCATACTGGTCGTCTTCTGCATTTTTTGTTGCGTATGTGATAGGGTAGCCAGATCATCTGCGAAGTCTAAGTCGTTCAGCTGCATCCTAGCTGTCCACTGTATCCCGTGCTTCCCTCCAGATGTTGACGTCTTCATGATCCAGTCGATCATCAGGAGAGAGAGAAAGAATGAGAGTAAGCAACCTTGGCTAACACGGGTCTTTGCCTCAAACGAGTCAGTGAGTTGTCTTCGCTCAGAAAACTCTAACAGTTTGCTGACATATAATTTATAACCTCCCCCTTCTTAAACTATCTACCGATCAAAAGTATCATATTCAGTGTCAGTTCCAAGATATATTCATACAGTGTTCAGTTCGGAAAATGTTTTCTCATTGATCACTGATATTACCAACCAATTAAAAAAAAATCAAAAAAATAATATAATGACATCAAATTTAGACTTTTAAAAATGAAACAATAATAATTAATGTAAGGGAAATAAACATACAAAAATATCCTTAATAATGATTGGATGAATTCAATATGAATATACTTTTAAACTTTTACTCAATTATGTTAGTTTATTGATGAGAACGCGTATAAACATTAGGGAATATTATACAGTCATAATAATTCGATTCGTTCATTTTTATCTTATCAGTCAAACGAAGAAGGATATCAGTTCCCTTTTAATGTACCACCCCCCTTTCATAAGCATACATGTATCTATGTATAACGACAGAAAATAACATTAAGCATATTGTTGTGATAATTATTGTTTTCCACATATATATTTAAAGATAAAAAACAATTCATGTTTACTGATAAATAACACTTTCTTAACATATTTACTAAAGGAGAGTATAGAAGAATACAGGCTAGTTAAAATACATTTACACATTTTCGAAAGACTAGATCTTAATTAATTTTAATACAGAAAAAACTATGGGACAAAAGTTTCCACGAAATTGTCATCATTTTAAATGGATCTGTTCAATAATGATTATAATGATAACTGTCATTATAATACCGAATAAAATATTTTCAATGACTATACATGATAATCCGAAACCGGATAGTTTCTATGATGATATTAATAATGATGATAATGACGCTGATGATTCAACTCTTATTAATAATAGTTATCAAAGATATTTAAGTCAACAATCATTAAATCCATATCAACATGAATTATACAAATATCCTAATAGTATTACATATAAACGTGGTCCAGCTCCATCATTTAGAAATTCACCATCATTTTCATTTAATGGTGATATGCGTTCAATTTCTAATTTACGACATATGATGTCTGGTGCTAATCCATTAGCAGCATTTGGGTAATTTGTTTTAATTAATGTTAATTTAAACGAGAAACGCAACACCAATTTTTTTGTTATTCATAAGAAAAAAGATTGACAATGAATAAAATATACCCCCCCCCTAAAAATAATTTGGTTGTTATAAGAGGATACTTTAAAAAAAAGAAAACAAACGAAATTACTGATGATATACATAGTTTTTCTTTTCTTCTTTAACCATAATCTGAATAGAAATAGAGATACAGTAGTGAAGCGAAAGGTAATAGGAAAAAATTCGGAATTGATTTATGAGTTATACTTTTGAATACACTTGTAATGTTAATTGTTTAAATGAGTCAAAAAGTATATATAAATTAACCAAGAGTTTTTGTAAGTAATAGCTAACAAAAACAACATTCTAAATTAATTACAGGATATTATGATTACTAAGCAAAGATGGATAATGGCTAGCAGTGAAACCCAGGGTGCGCGTTTCGTCCAATTTGGGGGCTCATCAGCTGGATGTGCCTGTATCTCAGGGTTGATGTTGACTCTAGGGACTCGAACCCAGTACAAATAAACAACAACAAGTGAAAACTATGATTACTATTTTCCGAATACATTTTTATTTTTTCTTCAAAATAATGCCTTTATGCATTATGTTAAGCCATTCTAATAGTTTTACGCCATTTAAATTGTGTTTTTTTCTTAAATTAAATGTATTAACAATTCTAGGATAAAAACTTACTTACGATGAACAGATGAGAAGCAATGAATATCTTATTTTATGAATCTATTATAGTTGCAAGGTAGCCAACACAACTTTTATTGCAAATGTACGCCAGTTGAATAAGGTTTTCAGAACAAAAAGTGCTAAAAAGCTGTTTCCTTTCAGTTATAGCATGCTCATCCATAGGCTCAAAAAAGACTTAATCTAAAGCATTTATAACTCACAGAAAGCATAATACCTTTGCATTCCTGTATGTGAATATATGATGGTTTACATTTGCAATTTGGTAAGTTTGCAAAATATACCATGATCATTATCTAACACCATAGTTTGTAATTGATACACTGATGACATAATAAATACTAACGTTCACTTTCAAGAATTCATCTACAAGCTAATCGGTTGAAAGCTCATGATTATTCTCTAGATTGACAGTTTATTATTACTTATTTCCATGGATGGATCAGTGTTAGATCACCAATGAAAACCTCGAAGAACTGTACGGCCGTTTCGTTGGATGCCGTGGTCTAGGGGTTAATCATTTAAACGTGAGATCGAAGATCTTCGGCTGATGTCCCGTGTGCGGGATTGTGAATGAGCACTGCTGAGGAGTTCCACACTAGGATGAAACTACAGTCTAGTGCTTCCAGGTTTTCGATGTTGGTCTAACATTCATCGATTCATGATATCAATTAAAACACAAAAATGTCCACCACCCAATACTGATACTTATTCTCAAGTTAATATCAGTTTGTGATTAACTAATTACTCCCGCCCAACTCATTTACTTAAATGATATTCAATAATCGAAAACTAAAACTAGAATTATTCAAAATAAATTGGATATAAATGAAGCAAAAAAGGGAAAGTTTCCCAAAAATAAGAATGATATTTTTACAACTTTAGTTAATTCACTTTTAGTGACAGTTAACCGATATACGTCTATATAAATTAAACTACTTTTCTTTAGAAAAATTAAACAGGCTTCATTTATCTCCATTGGTAATGATTTCATTCCATCACATATCACTACTTCATTAGAATCAATATACTTCTATATATGAATTAAAACAATAGGTTAATAGTAGTAAGTGTCGTTATTGTGCATGTTGATGTGACACTTTTTAATTTGTGAGCTTTAATACACACCACAAATATACATATTAGTGGTAATATTTAATAAATAACATTTATAGTATACAATCATAACGCGTATTGATCGTTAAATTCAGTAAAATGTGAACAATACATATATGTATTTAATATAATGATAAATGTTCGCAGCTTCGGTAGGACTTATTAAATTAAAGGAAGGTGCATAACTTGGAAAAAATACTTCCCATTCGTCGTACTATACGATACAAAATTATCAATAAATTAATTCTTTTGTGCCTAATTTTAAACTTTCCAGAAAAATACATTGGAAAACTGTATAATATATACAGAAATAATTTCTTATTTATTTAAACACATAAATATTGGTACATGGAAGCACCAGCTATATATGCGCCACACAGATCTCATTTGATTTGTGTGAGGGCTGTGATAATGCCCAGGTGCCCAAACTGAAGCAGGTGGTTCTCCTAGGGGGACATACCCGGAGCCTTTGACCTAAAGGTCCGATCCACAAGACAGTGGAGCATCGTAAGGAGATGCAGTCCCATGGTAGCCGGTGATCAACGATTGATTCATACGCCATTTGTTCCCTCAGGATACTGGAGCCCATGTGCATCATTGGTTTGGAATCAGGGTTTTCCAACTCCCCTACGTGAACACGTCATGTCCACCAACCCGGTTAAAGCGCCGGACTTTCGCTTTTCATCCTCTCAATTTCATAAACAACAGTAATGCCATGAGAAGGCAGTGCGTAAGACTTTTTTACTAATTTAAATAACCATTTTACCAAAGAAATAAGTACAAACTGAAACAAAAAGAAATACAATTCCAATAGGTTAACTTTTATTTAGGTCAACTATAGAAGAGAACAGAATATTTTAATTCTAACTACATAGGCAAAATTAACTATCCAATAAGTTAGAATGATTTTTGATAATGATGAGAAAGATTTCTAGCTCAGAAAGAGAATTTTAGAAGTGATATGTTCTTTAGACAGATAATTAAGGTTTTGCGGTGATGCTATTCAACTCACAGAAACACACAAGTCATACCTGACTATCTTTAGCAATATATCAAGATGAAATAATTTAGTAAAAGTAGAGAGTGATGACAAAACATGCAGAATTTAACTGATTTACATAATGATATATTGTAAAATAACTAAGACAGATATAGTGATGTGCAAATGTTCCATCTTCAAGCAGGTAGGTAGGCATCGTATAAAAATATTGGCAGAATTTTACATGGGAAATATGTTATCTTCATGTATACCTTTCGCTTAATTTCACAAAATAATAAGGTAAATAACAGAGATATTAATTTGACACCATACTTTGACAAAGTGGTTTCTGATAGAAATCATGTGAATAATCAGAAAAACCTACTCACTTGTGAAAATGTTAACATATGTTAACAAATGTTAGCAAAGGAAACGCACGAATTGCCTTTTTTTAGATTGATGACCTTAAATTTGTAGTGATTCATTTATAAACTAAATAAGGAATTCTTTTTGTAAGGGTTTTTATATGCCCGTTGTTAATTTTTAAGTCTGTAATTGATCAGTTTATTTTGGCATGTGTGCACCCTAAGAGAAATATCTCAATATTTCCATTTAGTCACAACGGTTTTTTTTATTAAAGTTGAATATCGGCTATCAATTATATTTAAATAAAAATCTTTACAAACAAAATTCACACCCGTTACAGAAGCTGATAGCTATTTCAATTCAGTACCTCAGTAGATAAAACATTGACGTTTGAAACAAAAGTTATTGCATTCGAGTCTCAAAGTGAACAACAACACTGAAATACAATTCCGAACGACGAGTAACAAATGAGATGAAATGAGCGTCCTGGGTTTCTATACATATTATAAACTGTTTTAAATACATATTTTAAGGATTACTGTAAAAACGAGTTCATTTTCAAAACAATCATGATCATTTTAACAGATGAAGTATTATCAGAAGGGGGTTTTGTGGAGATTTTAGTAATTTTATATAGTTGAGATCATGAGCCAATTGAAGCTACAAGACTGATGTGGCTTAATGCAATGAAGGAGGTAAAGCTGAAGACTTCAATATTCCCCAGCCATAAAATCCACAGATTAATCAACGATTAGATATAAAATAGATGAAAAGTGGTTAACAATGGGATCCAGGATGTACATTTCGTCCCATTCGGGAATCGTCAGCTGAATGTACCTGCATTCAACCAATTCAACATCACAATGGCTATATCGAGGCAATCCGTACATAATCCATATATGACAATCACAAATGATCAAACTTCAATCAGAAATATCAACAATGTGATTATTCAAAACATTTTAATTGACAAACAGTTATATCACAAATAGAATGAATTATACATGATTTATTTAATTGGTCCATAGTAAAATTTGAATATATATATATCGAAACTGATAGTGGAACTTGAGAAATTCACAAACGAATCCTAGAAATACCGTTCATACAGACATTTTATTATTTTTTTTAAGAAAAATTGGTACGTTAAACTTTGATTGCTGAGAAGTAAAGGTATCAAATTCAATTAAAGAGTTGTCCGAAATAGTTTTAGTCCTTACAGTTGATTGATTACTGACTAATAACCTATCGCAATCAATTTTAAATACATGTCAGTTCTACAGGACGTCCGTCGCGGCACAAATAGCTCAGTGGTAATATCTATGACTGTGAAGCTGAGTGACACAGAATAGAATCTACCAGGGAGTACCAACTTACTCAAGATTACAGGTACACCCTATTGACGAGTGCTAAATAACATGAAACTTAAGTCTAGGGTTTCATATAGACTATTTCCGATCAACAATTTTAGTGTATTTGACCAATATTTAACACCTAAAAAAAAGCTTTTTTCCGTGTCGCCTAGACAATATTACAGGAAATTAAGCACTAAAAAAAAGCTTATCATTTCAAAAAAAATATTAGACGAAAATAATGTTTACTACTTTACTGACATAAAAGATTTTCCTGAATGAAGTAATTGTAAAATAAAACAACTCACTTTGACAACACACCCAAGTCTGTATATGTGTGTCATTTTCGTTTGATGATATATATATTATATGAAATTTAAAAAAAAGAGACAAAGACAAGCACGTGTGACTCAATGTTCCTCTTTATTTGTAAAGAATAGCAACGTGAAAGTTCGACCCACTGTATAATCACACATATATATGCAGTATGTGTTGGTAATAGTAGTAGTAAAGAAAGAATGAACTTTACAATCTATAGACAATAATGTCTACAAAACAAAAGGAAAGCAAAAGTAGAACTAAAAAAATGAATTGAAAATTAAGATAGTAGAGGGACAGGGAAGGATAACGAAGGGCAATGGAAAGAAAAGATAGTAGGTAATTCATTTATCACACAACAGGAAAATCTGAAGAATAAATAAATATTCCAAGTTTACCGACTTCATTTATTGCTCCAAATTACATATATAAATACATTACAGAAAAAATTACACACAGAAACAATAATTTTAAACCCTTCTATGTCTAATATAAAACAAGAATAACAATAATAATCCTGTTAAAAATGGTATTGCATAAAAATCCCAATCCATAGTTGATATTAAATGTCCAGAAGGATAAGATGATGTTGTTGGTGTTGTTGTCGAATCTGTTACGCTATCTACCTCATGTTCATCTGCATATGACCTACTACTAAACATACTTCCAATATATTGAAACTAAAAGAGAAGGAGCAAAACAACAATAGACTGTACGACAAAAATTCCCAATGATTTGTTTTTCTTTTAACAATTAAGATAGACAGAGTCAATAGATAATACAGTTGAGAGTTTATGAATAGGTATTTCTCTTTAATATAAATTCATTATTCGATTCTCAATAATTGTCGTATGATAGAAGATTCTAACACGAGTGGATTGATTGGAGTACATGTTTAAATTAGACGTAAAGATAATTATAATACGTTGAGTTAAACTATATGATGCAATCAATTAATTATTAGTCTGTTATTAATAAGATGATAACAGTCACATTTGTTGCTTCCGAACTTATTTGTTGCACAGAAATATTTGCAATTTCATTTCTGGTGACCTTTTCAATAACTTTATCACTTAAATATTATGCTACTTGAATAGAAACGGGGAAAATACAACATTTAATAATGCTAAATTTCGGCCTAACTAACATCATTAATCTCAAATATAATTATACAATGTGTATGAAGGATTTGAATGTGACCAACTTAGTCTCGAGCGATGTTACGGGTATGAAGGCTAATATCACTTTCCGGCTGCCCACACCATGGAAGGGTATTTCTTGAGGGACCTGAAAAGAAAGGTGGATTAATGTTGGTCTTAACAACCTAGGAGTGTGACCGCAGAGCCCAGGGGGACAACTGCTTGAGGCCGGTCACGCACAGCCTTTTTGTGGGGGATTTTTGACGTGTTAGATCCGTTCTCCACAGGGCCTTACCGCCCGAGACGGAAATCCGTGAGGTAAGGTGAGGCCTAACATTTTTAGGGTCGATCTTTACTAACCCCTTCCTTCCTTATGAGAAGGCAGCATCGCTGCAGATGCTGGTTTTCCGAGGAAAACACCTCACCGCTGTCACTCCTCTCTATAGTCAGCAGTACGACTTCGCCCTCAGACCTTGAGTTGCTGCTTTTAGTCTTACCGTTCTCCAATCAACCTGCCTGGCATGGTAGAACCTACAGGAACATACGTTTTAGCCGATATAGCTCGGTCGGGTCATCACGATAGGTAAACCCGATCACCACATCAAGGTAGCAGCTACGGTTGGGAGTGTGTATGAAAATATTTGCAAAATAATTGAAACAAATTGGTCTAAGAATATGAAATTGTAACAAATTTATTTTGCTTCTTCTACTTAGCAAGATATTTTTTAAAAGGACTTTTTGGTTAGAACTTCGTAATTAAAACAACTTGTTTTCTCTAAGATACATACAACATTTGGTTTCACGGGTGACGAATACGAATACCACCTACATACTCAATAGATGTTGAACAATTTTAGTGAATAATTACCGATGTTTGTAAATACTTAGTTGGCGAAGGCATAACAGTAAAAGCGACCTAAAATTATCGTTTAAAACATGCATAAATTATTTGAGAGTGGAAACAATATACATTTCGAAAATTTAAAGTAATATAAGTAACTTACGAAACTTGATTCATTGAAAAAATCCATAACAAAATAAAATGAAAGACGTATAAGAGCTAGGTATACAGCTACTCGTGCGTCGATCGATGCTTCAGCAGCCATGTCATAAAACCTTTTGGCTAAGTAAAGATCCTAAAATAGATTAAAAATGAACACTATTAAGGTTACCAGTTAGTATTAGTAACAATAGGTTAGAAATCCGGCGGCAAAATTTGGTAATGTTTAAGTTTTAGTGGAGAATTATAATATGTAGAGTCAGCATACTCGTAAGTGAAGTGCATGTTAGCTTTTGACATTTGGTTGTGGTCACATTCTATTTTAAACGACTTGTATTTGTAAAACATGAATCTTTGTGTTGCAAACCGACGGTTTCCATGACATACCAAGAATTCGAGGTCTCAGAGACATATTCCTTGTTAAGCTGTTAGTATCCATCCCTGGTAAGCCCCATAGATAAGATTGATTTTTAATAATTTGCAACTGACATAATTCTGTGATGAATATTAGCATCAAATTGATAACAAAAAATGTGTTAAGTAAATCGACAGACTAAACGCGTGAGCACAAGTAACTTACAGAAGCAGTAGACCTCAATAAAAATCAAAGTAATAAAACTTATCTTCAGCAGTATTTAGGTTGTAATCTGTTGAAATTTAGGGAGAGTCGATATTCAATTTTTATTAGGTTTGATTTAATTTATCAAACATAATGATACAGTTTTTTGGCGAATCAATAAATAATTCTTCTTTAAAGATAACCACACATTTGTTTACTATAATCTAATCTACTATAATTGCGTGAAGGTTAATGATGGTAATAACTGACTGACCAGGCCTTGATAAAGGTTATCAATTGTAATGTAGTGAACAGAACACGACTGGTTGGGGAAAATCGAATGTATTTAAGCAAAGATTACAGACTATCTCAGTAAATTCTGATAACCAAACAATGAACATTCAATTTGCAAATTAACAACCAATTGTTTCAATCTTCACTGTTTCTTCTCTTATTCCATTGCTCATGCATTTTCCAAACGATTGCGCTTCATTTCAGTTCTTTGCTCATCGGTCTTCTGCCAAAATACATTCCATGTCTGACCCACAACATATACTACTTATATAGATATAAGTAGACAACACCACACTCGTCCCCCCTTTAAAGCATTCGTTCATACAGTGGTTCTGCTCGCCACGCCACTATCTTCTTTCACTGCAGTCTGTGCCAAACTCTCCATCAGAATGTCGAGTCTGCGGCGCGCTGACCTCCATAGCTCCGTCGACCTGCCGGGGCATCAACATCCGCAACCACCCGGCACCTGGGACGTTCAACACCCGTACTCCACCGGCCTGCCGAGCCATCTACATCCGATGTCCGCTCAGCAGCCGCACGTCCCACTGCTCCTCTCCGTCGACAGCACCCGCTACAGCCAACGCCGCCCTGCCAGAACACTCCACTCGACGCCACCTCTCCGCACCAGACTGCCCCAACTAGCACCTCCACTCCAGACCCGCAGCAGCGTCCGCAGAACAGCACCCTTCCTCCTCCTGGTTGGCAGCGACACCAAATGTAATGAACAGAACACGACTGGTTGGGGAAAATCGAATGTATTTAAGCAAAGATTACAGACTATCTCAGTAAATTCTGATAACCAAACAATGAACATTCAATTTGCAAATTAACAACCAATTGATTCAATCTTCACTGTTTCTTCTCTTATTCCATTGCTCATGCATTTTCCAAACGATTGCGCTTCATTTCAGTTCTTTGCTCATCGGTCTTCTGCCAAAATACATTTCATGTCTGACCCACACCATATACTACTTATATAGATATAAGTAGACAACACCACAGTAACATCTAAAAGATGAATTATCAATAATGAAACTTGATAATTATTTACAGATTCCTTTGAAGACATACAGACCAATATCTCGGATAAAATTAGGCGTTTAAAATTCCCATTGAGCTGAAAGATGAGTGTTTAAATTGTCCAGTTATAATTCCGTGAGAAACTTAACAGTCCTAAAACTTGGAAAGAATTTATCTGTGCACTTTCAATGTTAAATGCGCTTATTTAAATGTAATTAGTATTTAATAAACATTCAGTCATATTAACTACATGAACACACCTTGTAATATAATACCATATCTAGGTAAAAGAGGACTGAATTGAATCAATCGGATCCACCTCCTTGTAACAATATTAGCAAGAATAAACTAGAACCCAGATCAAAACCACAAACAAATAACCATAACTTACTCGCTTCAATCCTAATCCTTGTTCATGCATATAACCTAAATTAAACATTGCTTGTGCATTATGATGTAGATCTGAAGCGATTCGATAATGTTGAATAGCTTTTTGATAACTAACATCAGTACCAAGTCCATAATAATAGTAATCACCTAACTTCACACGCGAACTTGTGGAACCTATTAAAAAAAAGTAATAGTCAAATGAAAGAGGCAATATTTCTTAATAATTGTTGGAATAATACGAAGTAAATAAATTTGACCCTAATTTACTGAGTAACATTTAAAAAGATAATGTGAAAAATACATGATTTAAAAAATAAATTTCAGACCACAATATTTTAGAAATGTTTCACTCAAGAGTTTCCCTAAATCTGATAGGATGATGGCGTTTGAAAACGGACTTCGATTTGAAAATAATTCAAAAAGATTGACACTGAAGAAGGCTTTTGTTTTAATAAGTTGAGACAGAGTAGAAGACTGTAAAAGTTGAACACAGTGACTTGCAATTTCACAATGTGTTTTGTAACTAGAGTTCGAGGTAAATTAAAAATTAGTAGTCAAAGACATTTATATCAAAGTTGACTTTGATAAATATTATGAACATTGATAAATTCCTTTCTGTGATTTATGTGCATTTAAGTGACTTTTTTTCATTTAATCGGTTTTATCAGTCAGTCAGTCAGCTACAACGTAGCACCAGGCACATATATGCATCGGTCTAAGTTGCCATACCTCATTAGCACAATAAGGTAAAAACCGAATTTATAGAAGTTAATTGAATGGTGGTAATTTATAAAAGAAAGATTGTATATAAGGATATAGTACAGGTAGAAAGACAGATATGAATCAATTTTAACCTTAAGGTTTAAGGGAAGATAAAGAGCGTATACACCTACACTATTGTGATCGATTCTAAGCCATGTCACACAGTCTCCAACCATTGGTTACGATAGTCACGCATATGTGTGACTGGTCCAACGTTGTAGCTGACTGACTGATAGTCACGCAGACCTCAACCTAGTAGTCTGCATCTAACGACATAGCTCAAACTAGAAGTTGGTGACTTCAAGCACTGATGCCATGTTTTGGTTTGACCGCCCCTAACGTTCTTCCAACCATCGCCAATAGTAGTCAGCATAGCACATCGTGATAATCGGTGTTCAGACATACATAACACGTGGCTCAACCATCTCAGTCGGTGAAGATTTACAACCTCATCAACAGATTTACCATCATTCCCTAATACCCTGCGTCTTACCTCACTATTACTTACCCGGTGATCCCAGCAGATGCGAGCAATATTTCTAAGGCATCTGTGGTCAAATACTAGTAACCTACGAGTATCTTCTACTCTTAATGGCCATGTTTCGCAGCCGTAAAGTAGAACAGAACGAACTGCTGAGCAGTATACTCGTCCCTTAATTGATAGACGGACATCTCGTCTTCGCCATAGGTGACGTAAGTTGGCGAAAGCCAAACGAGCCTTTTGAATCCGTGCACAGATTTCGTCAGACACCAACCCATTAGGGCTGATCAGACTTCTAAGATAAGTGAATATGTCGACGCGTTCGACTACTTCACTCTCTATCCTTAGTTCATGTGTTGACGCAGACCACTCCTGGAGTAACAGTTTACATTTAGGGGGGGGAGAAATATCCTGGTATTGTTACTCGGTGTTATCAATAAACCATGTTATCTGTGTATTCTAAGTCTATAAGTTGACCTCCTGGAAGGAGATCAACTGCTGAAAATTCAGTCGACGAGATCGTTATTTCCAGCAACAGGTCTATGATAAAATTGAACAAGAATAGAGATAGTGGATAGCCTTGTCGGACACCACTTGAGGTTGTAAAGTCAGATGACAGTTCGCCATAAGCTCTCACTCGACTGGTGGTGTTCGAGTAAAGAGCCTTCACAAGGTTTATGTACTTCTCAGGTACACCGTTCAATGACAGACACTGCCACAGAACCTCTTGGTCTACAGAGTAAAATGCTGCTTTGAAGTCAAGAAAAACTGTCATTGTCGAACGCCGATAAACATTTCTGTGCTCTAAAACTTGACGAATAGTGAATACGTGGTCGATGCAGCCACGACCAGGTTAGAAGCCAGTCTGATTTTCTCGTGTTTTTAGTTCACATTTATATTACTGAATAACATGATAACATAACACCATCGTTAGTTTGTTCACAGCTTAACGAATACAGTAACACTATGCGGATTATATTTCTGTATGCATTAATAAAACCACATACATCATCAGTTGCTTTGATGACCTTTTACTGAGAGTTTCAAAGTAGTATCTTTGTAATTCTAAAATGAATTCCTATACAATAGATTTATTTATAATCTGAAAATTTCTGACAAACTTTCAGAAAATTTTAAACCTCACATTATATTTAATCAGTTGATCATTGGAAATTGACTTTTATTATGAACTGACCACTTTTTTCAACTATGCTTTCATACATACATTTTACAATCAACCCAAAAATTATCACACTTTATACCACAACCATACTAATTTCGGAGCGCCAAATCTGGTTGCAATAACTCTTAATATCACTTTGCAAAGGGGAACATACAACTTTAATCTACGGGGTTCCGATAAAGTAAATATTTCCTGAGCAGTTAGTGATGTTCTATATGAGTATTTAAAACGTAGCCACAGGCACTGAAGAATAAAATCCTATGAGTAAACTATTGTAGGGGTATCAATTAAATCTTTATCTAGAATTATTCTGCCCGAATACCCATTCGTTAGAAAAAATATGAGTATAAAAGTGAGAGTTATACCGATTTGAAAAAAGAGACCATAATCGATAGAACTGGGATTATTGAAGTATGATAAATTGAAGATGAAGCGTGCAGATATCTACAGAATGTGCCCATGTACTTACAATATTATCTTATTTATTCTAATACACAAGCTAATTTTTAAATTGTTACTTAATTTAGAAGCTAACTCCTTTCCACACTAGAAAAACATTTGGAGAATCAGTGGGGAATTTTGAGCAAATCGGACAGCTGGCTCGTCTTAGAAGTGTGCACCAGGGATCATATATGAGATCGGCGTCGATATTTCCAGATTTGTGACAAGAATGATATCGTTAAACTGTTGAAGCTAAACTATAATTCGGTAGCAGTACTACTCATACAAACAATAGTATCCCAGCACTACGGCTGGAAGTCAAAATAAAAAAGATAATTTATTTCTTGCCTAAATCTTTTTTCTAAATAATATGTAATAAGATGATTGGTGATTTTCGACAGTTTATCTTAAATCACTGCAGACTAACATTTTCGAGTGATTTGGAATAGAGGACATATACCATACAGCCTTGATGCAGTAGTAATTAGTCCATTTCAAATTGATGAAGTGAATACACACATATACACACTGTTGACGATAATCAATACCGCTAAATTACAATTACTCAATCCATAAAATATTGAGAAAAGTAAGGAATCTACCTTGTGTTGCCGATCGTTGCCATTGTGTAAACGCACGTTTGTGAATTTCATCCTTTGGAATTCCCGTAGCTTTTTCTACTAATGCAAAAAAATTGTACACAGAAAGATACGTATTATTTCAATTCAATATTTAATATAAGATATTGACAATAGGCAGAAATATTTTCTTCAATCATATCTTGAGTGGTGGCTAGTAATAGAATTTACAAAACTTGTTACGCCCTACACGAGGTTCTTCAGCTAGATGTCAAGATAGCATATCAGTGTCTACGCTCGCACAGGAACTCGGACCAATTAGCCGTAGCTTTAAACACATCTATTCACAGACGCCGCGCAGCACCAGTGAATGACCAGATTTTTTTCTGAATGTTAACAACAGGAGAATACAAATCTTCATGAGCAATAACAAATTCAGACACATTCTAGGTGCAAGGACTAGTGATATTACTTGGTCGCCTAAACCAAAGTAGACCAAATGGAGTTCGAACCTGTGGATTAGTGGTTGAAAGAAAACATTAACCGTTGAGCCTACCAAAACATTTTAAATAGCTTTGGGCCAATGAAATCACAGGTTGTTAATATAGAAATTAAAATGAAAAGTTGAATCATCAGTTATAAAATACATACACAGAAAATACTTGCCTTCTTCTAGGATAAAAGCTACATTACTTTGAGCAACTTCGTAACCGAGTTCTGCTAATAGTTGGTATGTAACAAATGCTTCATGATAACGACGATTACGAAAAGCAGAATAAGCAGACATGAACATTTTCGACCAACGACCACGTTCAGCTACATTTTTAAAAAGCTAAATATATGTGTTTAATGGGCAAAAAACAGGACCAATATTTGTCAGAAATCGATCACTGAAAATTATTTCATAAGTTTATGATTTAATAAAACTCCTTCACAATGTGAACACGGATAAAAAATTAAGTATATATATATATATATATATATATATATATCAGTGGAACTTGTCGCTACACATCAACTTCCTTGACTAGGAGTAAGCGTTTGATAGCATGAATATGAGAACCTTATGGAATTATCTTAGACACTATGATGTACCTGAGAAAATCGTCAGCATCTGGACTTCATGAGACGGACTACACTACAAAGTCATGCATGGAGAACAATTAACATATGTATTCTAAGTCAGAATCGGAGTCAGACGAGACTGCTTAATCTCTCTCGTGCGCGCCTTTCTCTTTCTTCTGGCGGTTGGCGGGATCGCGAAGACGTCCACATATGAGAAGTACAAAATACAATGGACAGCTTGCACGCAACTATAAGATTTGGACTTCACAGATGACCTGGCTTTTCTACCCCATATACACGAACAAATGCAGGTTAGGACAACCAGTATAGCAGAAGCCTCTGCATCAGTAGGCCTCAACATACACAAGGATAAAAGCAAGATCCTCAAATTCAACATAAAGAACATCAACCCAATCACACTTGATTGAGAAACTCTAGAACACGCGGAAGCTTTCACGTATCTGAGTAGAGTCGTCGATGAACAAGGAGGGTCTGATGCAGATGTAAAGGTAAGGATTGGCAAAACAAGGGCAGCATTCCTACAGTTGAAGAACATATGAAATTCAAAACAACTCTCAACCAATATCAGAGCCAGAATTTCCAATACGAACGTCAAGACAGTTAGTTCCATTGTAAGGAGCTGAAATTTGGAGAACTACCACAACCATCATCAAAAAGGTACAAGTATTGTTTACGTAAGATACTGAATGTTCGTTGGCCAGATACCATCAGTAACAGCCTACTATGGAAGAGAGCAAACAAACTTTCAGTTAAAGAGGAAATTAGGAAGATTTTGGAGGTGGCTAGGACATACATTGTGTAAGTTACCAAACTGCACCACGAAGCACGCAATAACTTGGAATCCCGAAAGGAAACGGGAAGACTAAAGAACATATTGCACCAAAAATTGGAAACAGGCATCCATAGGATGAATAGCAGCAACTGAAAAGAATTTCTCAGGACAGAGTTGGATGGAGAATGCTAGTGGGCGGCCTATGCTCCTCCACGAGTTATAGCAGTTATGTTATATATATATATATACACCTGGTATTGCAATTTCAAAGTTAACTCACTGCAAAAGTTGGAGAAAATTTGTGATAAAACACTATTTTATTACGATAAATGCATATATTCAGAATAGCATATTTTCTATAGAGGATTTACTTAACTACTAACAAGTAGTAAGATGTGATATACTTAGGATTACTGAAATTAAACTATTTATAGGGTTGAAAGAATGGAATTATTCTTATTTATAAGGATACTTCGAAAATGAGATATTAGAATTTCAACATTTGTGTTTTTTCATACGTAATCACTAGAATTGTAGCAAATTTTATAGTCATCATTATTACACAAAGTTTCTGATGTAGAGACTAAAAATGAAAAGTATTGTTAACTGACATCTATAAACTCTGAATAGGAGAAGTCAACTGAGTAAGATTTTACTACTGTCACTACCTGGTGCTTCTTTGTACCAATATTTATGTGTTTAAATAAAATTTTATGTGTGTAACCAATGGTTGGAGACTCTGTGTGACATGGCTCAGAATCGATCACAATGGCGTAGGTGTATACACTCTTTATGTTCCCTTAAACCTTAAGATTAAAATTGCTTAATACCTTTCTTCCTACACTATATCCTTATATAAAATCTTTCTTTTATATACTACCACCACTAAATTGATTACTTCTATGAATCCGGTGTTCATCTTGTTGTGCTAACGAGGTATGGCAACTTGGACCGATGCATATATGTGCCTGGTCCTACGTTGTCGCTGACTGACTGACGGACTGAGCAGCAAAGAAAAGTTTATAACAGTATCAACAAGGTTTATCTACAGGGTTTTGTTCAGATGAAATCTAGTTCAAAACACAACAGTTTCTCTTCTGATTAGGTTATAGCAATGGTACAGGCTAGTTAAGAACTAATGTCAGTTGATTCAGATTGAAAATTAATGTTTCAACAGTAGACGAAGCTGACAGAACCTGTGACTTAACCTCTATGTCCTACAACATTGGACCGACCTGCTGCACGCTCTGCACTACGTCATCAACAGAACAAACCGTTTTAAATACATCGTGGGGGGGTCTTTGATCCTATTTTTGGAATTCCTTTTGGCTCTTGCTTCAAATGTTTCAATTTGAATTGGCTAATCACCAAAATGAATGGAAAGTACAACTACTGCTACGTAAATTTAGTGTCACAGGTTAAGAAAAGTACTTAAACTTTGTACCCCCGGATCAGCTATGCGACTTCAATTTTGAAGACTTAATAGACATTGTCTTAGATTTTCATAAACCAGTCTTTACTTTTTAATACGCGATATCAAGGTATGAAGCTAACAAAACCGGAAACTGACGACTTTGTCACCTATACAAAAGTTATTAATGAGGAATGTGAACGTTTTAAGCCAAAATCGCTTACAGACGACCAATACACTTTATGTCAACCCAAAATGAAGACTTAGTTCGTATTGAACACTACCTACGCAGGCAGCCTAATTTAATGATTTTTACCATTTTATCTAGTTTAGAAAAGCTGCTATAAATGTACAACAGACTAAATTTGTCAAGAATATTACAGTAAGTGAAAAAGAACAAAACTGAAAAACAACTGAACCTATAATGGTATGCTAACTTATTGACACACTCAAGAAATAATATTGAACCAAGGATTATATGTGCAAGAATAAAATGTTGTTTGCTTACTTCGGCTGCAGTGCTACAGGATCGTAATACTCCTGTACCTTTGGCATGCATCTCGGCTAGATGATAGAAAGCTATTACATTGCCCTGTTGTGACGCCATAGTGAAATATTTCAAAGCCGATTTGTAGTCAGTTTTTATGCCATGAGTACCTATGTCAACATGAAGAAAATGGTTTAATTTTATTTACTTAATGGCGAAATCTTTCATGGAAAGTTAACATTTCACAGAGTAACATTTAGACACAAAAATGGTTTTAGATAGACGCTATTCTGAACATCAGCTGATTTTCATTTTGATAAGCCTTGCTGATTGAATGCTATACTCGGATCCCAAGCTAGTATTGTAACCCCCAAGCTAGAACTACACAGCGACTTGAACACGAGAGAAAATTCACAAAATATGCGGGAAGCACCTTACCCTAAAGGTTCATTTATGTACAGAAAATTTAGGGTTTTTATAATATTCTAGAAGTCCTTGGGTTTTCCTGAAAATTCTAGAGTACTACTACACATAATAATAGTGTAGTAATCAGCCAATCAGAACCTCTACATGTGACTTTTCATTTTCGCGATATTTCTAGCAAAGCTTCTAATCAAACGCTAATTGGATAGAATGCTTCTTAATGCTTCCTGAGCTTGTCATGTCTGTTGCGAGAAATTTTCAGGATCATTCTAACACATTTATCGATCACTTCAGTGATGAGATTCTGATATATTACTATGAATATTTTAACTTATATCAAAACGTAAACGTGTCACAGAGATTTTCAGAAATTAACAACCTCCCTCACTAAGTTAGCACTCAACCATTGTGCTAAACACAACAAGAGAACAAATGATCACTGGGATTTGTAATGCATCAAGTTAAATCAATTAAAAGACAATGCAATAGAGAACAAATAACGTGTGAAAATGACGAAAACTCCTCTTGAAAAATTCGTTGTTCTACTTATATATCATCCAATCAGGTATATAAGCTATGGTAATAGTAGCAGCCAGTTGTTTTAAACAGCCTTTACTGAAGTTTTTGGGTGCTGATGCTTACCACTTTATAAAAGAAAAATGGTTTCAGTTTACTGTATTACATTGAATATCATAAATTGACTCTACAGCCTATGACACATACCAAGCAAATGTTTGAATCCCACTTACAACCCAGTTTATCAAAGAATGAAGCTCGAACAGTCGAAAGACAAATTCTCGAAGATAACCTACAACGATTTCCGTCAAATTTCTCTAGGACACTAGAATTGCTGTATGCCAAAATTGACATATTATTTATCTAAATTATTTTTAAAAGCCTCACTTTAATGCCGTACTTAACTTATACACAGGTTTGATCGGAATTAAGAGATGGACGGATGTATTATGTCCCTGTAAGTAGTTTTCAGAGTTAAGCGATAACTGAAAAAATAATTAACAATATCCACGTATACCCATCTCACAGGTGGTAAACAAACCTAAATACTTATATATTTCGTGACTCGCTCATCTGAAGCAATTGAAAACATTATTCTGGTAAAAATCCGAAAATATAACTAATCTCTGAAAAAAATAACATAAAAATCTCCGGTACAACGAGTATTTATGATAGTTGGTAACCTTACCATTACCTAAGAACAGACGACCAAGATGTAATTGGGCTTCAGGCCAACCTTGATCGGCAGCTTTCAGAAATAATTCCATTGCGATGACTGGTTTAACCGGCAAACCGGCTCGACCATATAAATAGGCCAGCGCTAAGCCTGTTTGCCCTATTGGATTATTCTCCTCAGCCGATTTACGTAAATATTTCAAGGCTTTCGTTGAATCGGCAGGTACAGCCGTGCTACCAACCATGTACATCTTTCAGAAAAAGTAAAAACACGTAAGTAAAAGTAGTTCTGAAAATATCTTCTAAAACCAACAAATATATTGTTGAAGACATAAATGGACTTGGAAGGTATTTAAAAAACTACGCTAATAGTGAGTAAAGTTACCCAAAGGCTGGTGAAACCTCTAGTGCATAAACATTAAGTTAAGTAAACTTCTGACAATGTCTTAACATTTATCGGTCTATTTCGGAAGATTAAGAGTACAACAACATCCATTTAATCAATCCTAAGGTCAAACCAGTGTAAACAACCATTCAATAAGAACAGTTATTTTGAAATATCAGTAGAACTTCGTACGCACGTGCATCAGTTTGAGTTGTCATACCACATTAGCACAGAGATGAAGTTGTCCATTCAAACCCCATAGTGGTAGAAGTAGTAAGAGTATAAGCAGCAATCCGAAAGATTAGGGTTTGAAGATGTTATTCAAGCAGTATAATCCAGTGAAATAAATTTGAAAAGAGAAAAAAGATATAGGCATGAAGAATTCAGAAGATTAGAGTTTAGAAGAACACAACGAGTGGATGCACTTTCGCCTTTGCAAACGATTTTGAGCCATGTCATTCAAGGTCTCTAACCATCGGTTGTTATCATCTCGCGGATCCCAACCAGGTAGTCTGCACCTACCAACATGGCTCACTCCACTTGTCAGTGACTTCATGGATTTGTGCCACGTTCTGGTCTGGCCGCCCCTAGCTTTCTTCCAACCTACTCCTACACCATAAAACCTCGCACGTCTGTGGTTGGGCATACGTAACATGTGTCCCATTTTGAAATATAGGCTTTGGCAACATGCACTTTTGTGTACGTCAGTTTTGTAAAGAGTATTGATTACCGATACTAAGAGTATGCAGTAAAAGCGAGGAGGTGGTCAGTTTACCATACGGTTCCATAGGATGAAGAATAGTATTGATTCATCATGATTATACATCAAATCATTATCATATATGGCTTAGAATAAAAACGTATTTTTATTAAATGTATTCTGCAAACATTAAGGTTTACTTTAGCGACAACTAGTATCTATTTTATCTGCTTTTATGCAAATCATTCTTTCCCATAATATTCATTTTTTGTGTGAATTCATATTGTACAGTACATATTTTGTAATTAAATCGTGTCACCATTTTGTTTACTCCAAATGATAAAAACGTTAATAAAAATAATCTTATCTAAATCAACAGATTTAACACCGTCAAAAACCATTGACAGCTAAAAATATTAAAATATACTTAAATTAAGTTTCAAAATTTCTCAATTTTTTAATGAGATTTCAGTGGATTTTCACATTATCACTAACTTACTAGTGTTGAGGTAGCTGCTTACAGGTGAATAGATTTACGAAAACCTACATCATTTACTATCAAATGCAGTGATCCAATATAGTTTCCTTTTTTAATGTGTTAAATGGTGACCTCTCGAAATATCAAATTTGTTGAAAAAGTGTATCAGGAGTAATAATGGTGAAAGTAACATAAAACCTGACACATATGTCTGTTAATTCAAGTTGACACATCACATTAATACAGTCAAATGATGTTATCATGACAAATGTCAAAGTATTAGAAGTAGGACAGTATTGGTGATAGTAGAAAAAATCACTCATAGACATCACTCGATAAAAATGAACTAGTGGAACAAAAAAGTACGAGATGAGTTTAAGACTCAATATCTAAAAAAGACAGATAGTTAGTGCATCTCTGCCACTGTAAGTGATTCTGTGTCATATCATTCAGTGTTTCTAACCATTGGTTATGAAAATCTCAGTTAAATACTTTGAACCTACCTACAAGGCTCGGATGTTAACAAGTTAGAAAAACAATGTTAAGATAGTTTAAAAAAACTAGTTGCAGCAATTTTACATACCTCGCCTAAATAAGCCATGGCTATGGCGCTTCCAGATTCAGCAGCCAGATTAAAGTAATAAAAAGCCTTTTCATGATTCATTTCAACACCATGTCTACCATAATAATATAATTGACCCAATCCAACCATAGCACTAACATTCTTTTTGTAAGCCATAAACTGATAATATTGGAACAGATCCTCACTGATTGTAAGATCACCACCGTCTAGATTGCCCATTGCATCTATTTCATCTAAAAGACGAGCACGTCTGACCATAGGTCCAAGAAGAGTTGGACCACCAGATTCAGAGCGCTCGGAAACTTCTTTATAGACGACTTGAGCCACACGATGATAATGTGTTAGTGCTGCTTCACAATCTTCTTCAACACCAACACCGGTCCAGTAACGATAACCCTAAACCAAAGTGCGAAATGAAAAATAGTAAAATTCTCCGTATTTTGGAAATATTCAGGCAAATAACGATGATGCCGATTGTGTACAAGGATATTTGCTTGGACCTACTTGCAAAATCCTAGAATTAACTTGACAAACAAACACAAGCACAAATTACTGAGAACAGCAAGTTAGTGGTTTATTACAACCATAACTTTGGGTATTTTGAAGCTTTAGATACTGCAATAATTCTTTATTTGTTTTACAGTACAATTTTAAAGACTGGCAGAGAGCTTATAGTTACAGGCATCATAAAAACATTTAAATAGTAGTTACCAAATATCAAAAGCTTAACTAATATCGTTGTAGTGGTTTCCCGAGTATGGATGTTAAAAACCTAGAGGTTAAGTTTTTTATAAGTGGATATATTAAAGTTATTTGCATCAATATATTGAAACTCCCATCATTTTTATGGATGTAAATATGCAAGAATAAATAGTTACCAGTAACTGAAGTTAATTTAAGTATATTACTTACCAAAGCCATGTCAGCAAAATTATCTCCTCCAAGACTCGAAAATGTTAAATATATCAATGCATGTGGAATACTTGCATTTACATGTAATCCAGACGCATACAAAAATCCAAGGCCAAACTGACCCCGAGGGTTGCCTTCATTGGACAGCTCTTCGAACGCAGAATATGCACTTTGAAAGGGATCTGCAGTGTAACCTCCAAGTAATGTGAGCATAGCCACCTGTTCCCTTGCTTTTGTATGCCCCTGTCTGGAAGCTTCGCTCAAGAGTTCCAGTGCACTGTTAGACAGAGAATACAATATGAAATATATAACGCACGTTTTGTAAAGATAATATTGTGTCAAATACATTTAGGATGTCAATTTGAATTTAGAGTACAGTTATGAACGGATAACGAAACAATAAACGAGTAATGCAGTACACATACGTCTTATCAGCAGATGTCTTGTGACTTTCCGTCTCCAAAATACTCATAGCTTCGTCATACAAACGTTGAGCAACACTTGGTTCCGAATCTTCATGCTTATCAGATGGTGAATGAATGCTTTTTACTGTTTTTTCATCTAAAAGAGTTGCAATTTGTATTGCGGCTTACCATTAATCGATGGGATGCTTTGGGAGGCCGGGACATTGTCCGCAGTTGAATCATGTTCAGATTTATCTGTCAACTCTTGGTCTTTCAAACACTAAAATGATGTGAAAACACTTACTTTCATCCTTCGTATTTGAATCAAGTGGATCATCTTGCGATTCTGACTCAACGTTTACATCTTCCTTATCCTTTGGAATTTGAGGAAACACTTTGAATACTATTGAGATAATTTGAATGTTACTTAGATCTGGATTAAGAAGATCACGAAGGAATTTTTCGACAGTTTCTGGATCATCAAATTGCTCTATATAGCTTTTGATTTTCTTTTTGTCTTGAGTTATTGATATATGGGCATCACCTAAAGTTGGAAATAAATCTTATTATATTTCTTAAAACGGAATGCTAGTTTTCTGGAACGTTGTTCGAAATAATATAACATTGAGAATGCATATGCACGACAAGGTGAACACTGTAAAGAGTATTATAAGTCGTTAATTCAAAGCATGTAAAGGGACAGCAGATTAAGTAAAGAGTAAGAACTAATCAAATGTCTACACAAATAATTTGTAAATCAGTGGAAAATGTCTTATATTGTCGCAACTGGGTTACAAAGCAACAAGATTAAGCAATGGATAACATGATTTCGTACTACTTTCATTTTTATCTGCACTGTCATTTCGAGTTTTTTTTTACATATTACACTGCCATGTACATAACACCTGGCCTCTTAATTTAGATGGCAAATATGGCGGTCGCTTTTGGAAATGTGAGTGACAACTACTCCGTCGACCTCATACCAGAATTATGAAAAACCACGGGTTCTTAGTCACAAAACACATATTTGTAGATTAGGACTCCATAGAATTTGATAACTATTGACCTAGCTTGTGTGTTTGATAAGTAGCATTTCATAAAATAACTGCAAAAAGGAATCAATTAAATCTAAAATGGAGCATATAATTTATAAGACCTGACGACTAGTCAGGTGTCCTCAAAGCGGATGTGATCCTTCTAAATAAATTGAGTCGATGAATATATTATATGAACTACAAACATATCTGTGAACTTCAGTTATTACATGGATACTGTGCAACACAAATCAGGTCGAAGTGCTTGAAGCTCAAAGGTATTGATTGGATACATGCACTTCAAGCATTATACTTTGTGCAACCGACTCTTACTTAGAAGTCAGAATAAGCAAAACCATTAAGTAATGTTATTAAGTAGTATATAAACAACTAGTACTTGAAGCGATCAAGGAAAATGTTTGTTTGTAGTATATAAAAATAGCAGTTAAAGATGAATGTGTCTAATAAATCCATATGAACAGAAAATTTCAACAGTGCATTACATACATACACTTACCACTTTTCCTCTTCGGCTTCAAGTCTTCCGATAAAACAGCAGTGAAGGATACCAAAAGAATGACCACAATTTTGATGAATAAACGTGGCGAACCATAAGGATGATCTGAAAAACCAAGGGAAAACATATCGCGTAATAACCAGAAAACGCGCCAGAGATTGAAACGCGTGGGTTTTCTATTCGCTGAATAGCTTGAGGTCATCCAATAAACTGAGATCCAACCACAGGTCGCACGGTGTTTATTTAAGTCCCCCTACTGTCCTGGTAATGTTCATATTTACGTCTAAACTCCGTTTTTAATGATGCAAAATGTTCAAAGCCTTAAAGATTTTTTTAAAGAAAACGAATATTCTCAAGCAGTAGTCCAATAACTTTTTGATGAACATGTATGAACATACTGATCTTACTATGCTCAGATCTTCATGTTCTGTAGCGATTCCACTAGATGTGCTCAACTTCCTAAAGCTTTAAAATTGATTAGGATGAGACAAGTGCCCACTTGTAGTGGAGAATAATTTCCCGAATAAATAGTTCCGTAAGTCTTCGAAATTGAGGGTGACTATATTGGTCTTACTGAACACGCTTCTAACTGAATGCGCCCGGTCAAGCAACTGCACCAAATCGTTTTCCGGTACGCGATGTTGCGCGAATAGTTAGACTAGGTCGACCGACCATCTACTACTTACTTACATACGTCTGTTACCCCCAGTGGAGCATAGGCTGCCTACCAGCATTCTCCAACCCACTCTATCCTGGGCCTTCCTTTCTAGTTCTATCCAGTTGTCGTTCATTTTTCCTCTTATCTATTTCCGTTTCTCGGCATAATTTGTTCTACATATATATTCAAACCCTCCGTACATGTTCCCTGGTTTTACCATATGTTGCGGAGAACAACGTTGTCAGTACTGGCTGTCTTTGACATTTAGTTTCCCTATAATTCGTTTTAGACGTAATGAAAGAGGTTTCAAAAATTTAGAAACTGGTAGATTCGTGATCTGGAAGGGATTTCAGGGGTTGCTACGATTTTGCATTTTGTTAGAATATCCCTGGTTAGACTTCCTTAATGGATGATGAGTTAGACTTTATATGTTCAGTTAACCACAGTTTATGAAGCGAGCACCAAGTTCTAAAAGTAGACTGGTTTGATCACTTTTTGTTTCAGGTATTCACTAGCCTCTAGAATATGCAAATCTCTGAACGTTGTCGAGCACTATGTTCAATGTAGTTACATCTTTGCACCCATTCATATAACAATGTCCAAACAGGGTAAAAACAGAAACTATAAAGCCATCTTTGTACCAATACTATTATTGGAATCCAGCAAATTCTGTACAAGAAGATTAAGTTCTTATGTAAAATGGGGAAGTAATTGCATCCAGTCATCTAGGAGACGACCGTAGTGAAATCCAACCCATACCCACCAGCAGTGCTCCAGAAGTCATGAGACACGGCTCGTGAACTAATATATGTTGACGATGGAAACCGAATTGATCTCCTACTATGTCGTAGGCCTGACTAACCGTTTGTAATTCATACAGGACAAGCGACTCCATCTGTGTCTTTGCCTAAGCTTAGAGTACATAAGTTGCTCCGATCTATGGATTTTGGACATGCGTGTAGTGCACACTTGCCCAGAAAACCAAGAGAGTGCCATCTATAATTATATACATTCTATGGGATTGACAGGATGTGCTTCCATATGTTTTAAGGAGGTAATTGGTTAAGTATGCTGGTCTTCGCCTTGATTTAAAATAATCGATACACAAAAAGCCAAACAATTTCAGGATAGAACGAGTTCTGCAAGCGAATAAGAGTTTAATGGTTATGACTGTGAAACCCAAAAATACTGGTTCTCACCACAATTCCGCAGACAAAATGACTACTGATCTTCAACATGAAGATTTACAGAATTTTAGTAACAACTATAAGCAAGTAGAAAACTAAAAGATTGAGGTGTAAACTACAAGCAACATGACCCTTAGTCTTAGAGCAACAATTATATTCAAATCTGTTCAAAAAAGGAAATGGTTACATTTGGTCGCTTCAACATGCAAGGGGTCCCAGCAACACACCAACATAGCCAACCCTACAATGATTCACAGGTTCTATTGGAAGCTTGACCTTGGAAATGCTGAATGAAGACTAAGTTCGGGTAGGCTTGTATCTACTAACATGAAGCTTTCGTCGTTTGGTCAGTGGAAATAAAGTCAGTTCCGAAGCTTGTCCTTTACGTCTTCTAAAAGTCCACTGAGTTACATTTTTAGATATTATTAGTCCTTGTTATCGTTAGAAAGCTTAGAGTTGTCATCTATGGAGAGGTTTATTAACTGTACGAGGCAAAGTCAAGACTCACACAACCATATTTTCATACTTCTTTCATACTTTTCGTAACCTGTGACACTAAATTTACGTAGCAGTAGTTGTACTTTCCATTCATTTTGGTGATTAGCCAATTCAAATTGAAACATTTGAAGCAAGAGCCAAAAGGAATTCCAAAAATAGGATCAAAGACCCCCCCACGATGTATTTAAAACGGTTTGTTCTGTTGATGACGTAGTGCAGAGCGTGCAGCAGGTCGGTCCAATGTTGTAGGACATAGAGGTTAAGTCACAGGTTCTGTCAGCTTCGTCTACTGTTGAAACATTAATTTTCAATCTGAATCAACTGACATTAGTTCTTAACTAGCCTGTACCATTGCTATAACCTAATCAGAAGAGAAACTGTCGTACGACTGAACTGCTATCATTTGACTTTGGTTGAGATTTACCTTTATTGTTTAATTTTGTTATGTCTTGATGTCGCACTATTTACAATAAGATTGTGTTTCACTGGATTCAGGGTTACGAATAGGGATATCGACCGCCGCTGTTTTTTGACTGTAAACGGTTGTTGGAATCACTACAGATGTAAACTTAATCCCAGTTTTTGTAAAATCCTTATCGGCTTTCAGGCATCTAACAGTTATAATTGTCGACTGTTTATTGCAAGTAGCGCGTTGTTTTGTACTAGACAAAGAGTTGCCCCGGTAGCGGGGGTATTTCATTGAGGTGTTTTGCTTTAGATTCAGTTCCTTTTTTCACACTAGAACCATACAAATTAGGCATACAATTTGTTTTGATGTAGTAGTTCAATGTGAATGACTTGAAAGGGCTTAATAGGCTACACAAAAGAACACAACTCGACCTAACTGAATATATATTTTTTCGAACATCTGCGTTCAGATCAAATTCAGGGATTTTGCTCGTCACTATTTCTATTCGGATTTTCGTTTTGTGACGTTTGTTTGATGTGGGTCAGGTACAAGTATGCGTAAGAAATAACTTGAGGTTGATTTCGCATGAGGTCCATGATATTTGAAAGATGGTGCATCGCAGGACATTTAGAAAATCGTTGATGCTGTGGGATGAACTTGAAGTATTTGATTGACCATTGAGTGTTAACCTGAATATAGTTATTTTCAAGGGGTTTTGGATACATTTATTTTATCGAAATCATGAGCCAATCTAAGTCAGACTACCACTGAAATTTAGAAGCACAATACCGTTCTTTCGTCTTAACACGATTCACCTCAGGACTCCTTCACAGCGGACTGGAATCCAAGACATATCGAGCTTGGGGCCGCAACCTACCTAAGGAAATGAAAGATTATTGCGCAATGCCGTAGATTGATTGGGACTAAGCACTACTGCCACTGAATTCCGGCACGGTGGTCAAAATAAGAAGCGTTAGCACATGAGACTGAGGGTAATGAATTTGAGTCCGTCGTGTGGGATTGTGAACTCTCACTGTTAAATAGTCCCATACAAGGACAAAACAGCTGTTCACTGCTTCCAGGTTTTCAATGGTCTTGTAGTAATGCCGGTTCTCAATCACATGATCCCTGATATCAAGCATGCGATAACAGAGACTGACATTCAACATTTAACGCTTAGAGGCCAAAAATAGCGAATGCGGGAAGACCTGATCTATATGGTATCGTTCAGCTATGCAGGCGACGTCACTCTAAGCAACTTTTTACCTTTCACACTAAATACACCATTCTGTCATCGAACCATATGTTCTTCAGAAGTCCTAAATAGCATATTACTGACCATCACGTAGGATGGGTCAGTATTGACATTGGCGTCATTTCTGCGTGATCCTATATATTAAACAGACCTCTTACAACTTTGAGATCAGGTCTATTGTTCTCATGGCAACGATAAATGCTCTCAATATAAATCTGGATAGTGACCTCATCGTCTTATTTATAAATGACCATAATTTCAACCCATATGCTGAAAAATATTTGTTTCAGTCAAACTTCTAACTTGTTTGTTTATTATTTTAAGCTTGGATACTCCGAATTCACATTGTTTCGGTTCGCTGTTTTGCAAACTGTTTTTGCTAGAAACCTTAAAATTATGGGGTCGTTACGAAATCTTTAATAATAATTACTGGAACAATATATTTCGATTGATAACTTGCAATTTACAGATGAATATTTTTCACCCGGGTGGAAATTTTGTTTTCCTGATTGTCTGTATCAGAAACCATGGGTGAATAAATCACTTCCTTCTGAAGAACGAACCAGGGCAGAATTGGGAAGCAAAAGTAGGTCTGCTGGATCCGGGTCTTTGATCAGTATTGGTGAGCTCATTCAAGTTATCAGACTAATAGACCAAATATAGTATGATTTTTTTCACACCCTACGGTCACTCTTTGAGATGGTGAGGCAATCAATAGAATAGAGAATATAGAATCAAGATTCAGGTTAAACAAGTAGACCATGAGACTGAACATGTAAACTGGCAAATTAACGGACAACAGTGACCAGTCAATATGGATGTCGATGGGACAGACTATTGGTCTCATAAGGAGGAGCACATAAGCTCAGTTATACCTAGTATTTGTGCTGAAAATCATGATAATTAGCAGTATTCGAATTATTGTATTAACCAGGGATTCCCGAAACAGTGCAATTTAAGCCAAATAAAACTAGTGAGCACAAAAGAGTATTGTATTTAGGATTGGAAATTAACAAGGAATCAAGCACTAAACAATCATTATTTCATACAAGCGACACTAACACACAGCCCCCAAATGCTCTGGTACGGCCGAGAGTGGGGAGAGTTCGCTCTCCCTCTCGAAAGGCTCTCATATGGCCACGCGAATATATAGCCTCTGCAAGGGAAGTCCTATTCACTGCCTTCTCGTGGCGGGGGTGTTGTTTACGAAAGTGAGAGGACGAAAAGCGAATGTCCGGTGCTTTAACCGGGTTGTTGAACAAGGCGAGTCCACCTAGGGGAGTTGGAAAACCCTGATTCCAAAC